TTACAGATGGAGATTTTTTAATTAATGCCAAGAGGAGCCTTACAGAGAATTCTAGTGCCATCACTAAGTTGTCTGAGAAAATGAACTTTACTTGAGATGTAAGTCTTCTAATTAAAGAGATACCATCAGCTTAAAAGTCACACTTCTTTCTAACTGCTATTGTTACAAGTGATCACTAGAACCGGACAAGATGTCTAAAGCAGTTGATTGTTTCTTTAACAAAACGTTATGCATTGGGCAATACTTTATATAATCACATTTTGCCAACTTTATTGTTTTCCCCTATGTAGTCAGGTAATTAACCTTCGCCTCGTTTGTTTGTGTGGGTTTTTCATAAAACATGAAACATTTGTAAATGTATGAATGTGACTGTAATTAAAAAAACAACAACAACGAAACAAAAAAACTAGACCCAAAGGTAGGTGCAGTATCACCTGAAACTACTCAACTCATTTTTAAATAGACTGGATTTTAAGTTGATGGTGTGCCTATAAATAAAAATCTTTTTTGAATAGAAGTCAATAGTAGGACTAGAACTTAAGAAGAGAGGCCAGGTTTGTCAGATAGATCAGAATATTGGTCTAGCAACCATAGCAAAACCCTTTTGTTATGCACCTGGTCAATTGTGCAATCTTGTACATAGTGGTTTAAAAAAACCCTCATGACCCCCTCAAATAATCAATTTATGCTCTGAAGCATGAGATTTGATTACCCTCGTTATTGTCTTAGCTTTCATGGATACAAATGTTATTAGCAGTCATAAAATTATCCAGCCTTTAAAAAAACCCAGTTTTAAAAAGCCACAGTGTTTGACTTAATGACCTCCGAAGACTGAATTCCAGGAGCTGATTGTAAATGTGAACAATGGGATGTCCTTCTATTTGTTTTAAAATTGCTGTCCCTTAATTTCATTTATTTTCCCCTTATTCTTATTATGAAACAGGAAGTAAGTACTTTTCATTATGCTTTACTGTAACTTTCACTATGCCAATCAAGACCCTTGTAACTTTCTGCTTTTCAAAGATAAAGATGAGCACTTTATATTAGTACATATTTATTTTTTAAAAGGAACTAATGAGATGTGCACCAGTAATCCCTTTGTCCTCTTTGCAGTATATTGTACCACTTTCCCTGTTCCTTCTGTGCTTTTTCTTTTAAGATTAAAAGCTCTCAGTGAATGGGGATGTGTTAACAGACTTCCTAGAAGATTTTGATTGGTTCTATAATGTTTTTTATAAGATCAATAATAATAATTTGAATTGGTATAATGAATACTATTGAACTGCACTTCATTTGTTACTCACAAACATCTATAATTCATTTGATACTCTGAAATGCCAGGCTGAAATACAACTTCCAGGGAAAAAAAAGTCATTCTCATAAAATGTTTGTAGGCATGATGTTACTTAAGCCAGCAGATAAACTTCTCCATCCCCAAATGTGATTCTCAGAAATGTTGCTTTTGGGAGTAATACTTCTAGAATTACATCAAATTGTGGCTATGTTATCAGTAACAAAATGCATTCAGTTGTTGGTGTTCCTATCTACTCATATACCAAATGTTTCTGAAATTGTTTGTACTCAGAAATACATCATCTTTCTTAACAACTATACGTGGCAGTTGTGTGTGTATTGACAATTATGGGCAGGATGAGTCTTCCTCCAAAGAAGACATTATACTGCTGTTCTTTTGCTTCAAGTGCCCAGCACTCAGACTGTGAAACTGAAGATCCAGGTTTTAACCTCTGGCCCTCCTATATTAATTTGAAAATGGCCTTTCTGAATGATAAATATTAGTTTCATGTAATAAGTTATTTTTAATAAAGTGAGATATAACTCAGTCCTTTAGAGCTCCAGCTTTCTTTGAAAAAATTACCAACCTTTCATTCTGGCAATTGATTTGGGAAGATAATCCATATTTAATATGTACTGGGATTTTAAATGTAATCAATGGGCAAATATTCAGCAACTGTGAAATTCAAGCCACCTTTCTTTACGTTTTTAGTATGAATGTAACAACAGCCTGTATTTAGGCACCCAGATTTCATAGATTTGGCAAATATGCCCATCTGCCTCTCCCTAACCAAATGGATAATATTATCAAACACATCTTTTATTTTCAGACAAGCATTTCTGGAAGAGAGGAACCAGCTGTTTAGAAGAACTTGTGTTACTGAACTGTCTTTGTCTCCCTCATGAGTCTTTCTTTTCCTCCAATATTAAGAATAATTTGAGTGCAGTGTAACATTTATTCATTTTCACTATCTACTGAAATCTGAAGTATGATAGAATACATATATTTAAACCACATCTAAGAGAAATGGTGGCTTTCACTTAAAAAAGTTTTCACTAGTGCCTTATCTTAGTATTAATAATGACATATTTTGCATTCTAACTGCATGTCAATTATTTATTTAGCTGAAATATTCTTGATTTTCTTTTCTACATATATCTATCTGTTTTTTCCTATAGGCAAGGGAAACATAGGTTGAAACTCGCAAAAAAAAGCAAAGGAGTCAGTCTTCTCATGAGGGTACATCTAAGGTGTGTCTAGACTACAGAGTTTTGTCGACAAAAGTGGACTTTTGTCGACAAAACTATACCTGTGTCTACACTACCACTGAGTTCTGTCGACATAACGTCGACAGAACTCAGCAGTTTTGTCGACGCTGGTAAACCTCATTTTACGAGGCATAAAACCTTCTGTCGACAGAGTTCTGTTGACAGAAGGCGTTATTGAATGTAAACTGTCCTTGCGTCTACACTGCCATGTCGACAAAGCAGCTTGCTTTGTCAACAGAACTGAATGTAGTGTAGACGCTCTTTGTCGACAGTATCTGTCGACAAAACTTCTGTCGACAAAACTCTGTAGTCTAGACGTACCCTAGACTACAGGCTTTTGTTGACAGAGGCTTTGTCGACAGATACTGTCAACAAAGCTTCTGTTGACAAAGAGCATCTAGACTACATCCAGTTCTGTTGACAAAGCAAGCCGCTTTGTTGACATGAGAGAGTAGATGCAAAGGACAGTATAGATGCAATAACGCCTTCTGTCAACAGAACTCTGTTAACAAAAGGCGTTATTCCTCGTAAATGAGGTTTACCGCCGTCGACAAAACTGCCAAAACATTATGTTGACAGAACTCAGTGGTAGTGTAGGAGCAGATATAGTTTTGTCGACAAAAGTCCCCTTTTGTCAACAAAGCCCTGTAGTCTAGACACACCCTCAGTGAAATTATGAGTTAATACAGCAAAGTTGGGACTAGATTAAACAGCTATGCAAGGGAAACTCTGAGAAATCAGAGAATGAACCCACTCCTTTATGCTCTGTGTGTGTATGTGTGTGTGTGTGAGAGAGAGAGAGAGAGAGAGAGATAATGAGTACAGTTTGCTATTTGAGCCTAGTGCTGACAACTGGTCCACACAGATTCACGGTGCATTCATTGTTCATGGAGGAAGGCTGATAGAAGATTGCTTTACTAACACCATTGATCCATTCACAATAGTTTGTAAAAGTTTCTTCTGCATAAAGGTGTGAAGGCTCACTGCATGAGTTCTCAGCAGCTTTGTGGAGTTGTGTCATGTAAATGCATCATTTCTTCCCACTATGTTTATACTCATAACCAGCAAAGATACTCAGGATTTAGCTGTGAAAGCCAAATTCGTTATCTGCTTTAGACGGTGGAAAGACTCCTATTTCCTTTGCTGGACTTTAGGCAAGGCCCTAGTTGCAGACAAATCCAGAAATTCAATATTGTGACTTTACAAGCAACCAAAACATAGCTCCCTTGCACAGAATAGTAGTCCTCCCTCCCTTTGCATGTGGTCATACACTTCAGCAACACTTATTTAGTCACAAGTTGGCTGTGTTACAATTATTGGGAAAATTCTGTCTGTATCTTCGTTGGTTTTACGTGATTGAAATGTAAACCATAACACTGACTCAAAATAGACTTTTGCAGTTTCCTTAAACAGAATATATTAGATTATACTATTTTTCCTATTATCTTGCAGCATTTCTCTCCTACTACTGGTACCTCATTTGCTTTATAACATCCTTCCTAACCCTATGTGCCATTTATTTCACTTCCTGTCCAAAAATAATCTCATCTAAACAGTTTTTTCTGAGGCAAACAACAGTGGTACCCTGGTATATTAACACTTTCTAATTGTTACTATTTAAAAATCTGTAACCCCGGGAGTAATAATCCCCAGGAATGCTAGCTCCAATCTGCATGGTTTTATGATTTCAACATGTGTTCATGATAATTTTTCTTCATTGCATCAGACAAAGGTGTGTGTGATGGGGGGTGGGGAGAAGTGACTGGAAAGGTCACATTTTCGAGGCAGCAGTGAAGTAGGAAATAGTAGGAGAAGTCCAAGCACTCACAAAAATCCTTCCTCCTTATTTCCTGGGTAAAAATCTGTTAAGAATATGGTTGACAAATTGATGATTCTGTGTCTTCACCTCCCAGCCTCACCCAGGGGAAAATTCAGTGTTACTCCATGAAATAAATAGGTTATTCAAGGAAAATATGTAGAAGTAAAAGCCAACCTTTCCAGTAGTTCAGCATGTTACAGAGATTCCAAATGCTCACTAATGCAAAAGAAATTCATTTGACTAGGTGGGGAAAAGAATGGTAAAAGGCAGTGGAGAAAAAACTATGCTGAAAGGAGTTTCAAATGGTGTGGGATTAATTAACTTTCAGAAGGCTCTAATTTAACTAATCTGCTATGGTAATAATTGCTGACAGCACCAGCCTTGTATGGGGAGAGCATAAAGTTTTGTCTCTAGGGGAAAATGGAAAGATTTGATTTAGATGCAAGAAAGGAGTCTGGTGTTTTAGTCAGTCCCATTGATTTAATTAACTTAGTGGGCTCTACTTACACCACCTCTCTTGGCACCTCAGTCCATTATTTAAGGGTCTTGCCAGTAGGGTGCCCCCTCCTATTATTCAGCCATTGTTTTTCTCCTCTTGACTTTTGTCCTTTTTATTTGTTATAGTCAAACTGGGTTTATCAGCTGTGCCATCCATGGATACAGTTATTGAAGAGGGATGACCCCCTTGAGGCCAAGAGTAGGGAATCTACCCAGAGTCACTGCATCTCAGGTAAGTCCTTCACCTGGGTCCAAAGGATCCCTTGTCGCTTTGGACTCCTGACTGTTAGAGGGGTCCTCTGGCATCTCCACCGCACCGCGGTTCTACATTCTTCTCTCCCTGGGGCAGTGGAGTAGGGGTACTGCTGCCCCCAGGCTTGCAGTAATGACCCCCAAACCGGCCGTGTCCTTTGGCAGCGCCCCCTGTGTAAAACCTGCCCTGGAGAGCATAGACTGGCTGCTTGCCGCCCCCCCCTCACCAGACGCGGAGGCTGAAGGAGCCGGGCGCTCCCCAGCCCAGGGAGGAGGGAGTGGAAAGTGTGAACATGCTGGGACGGCACCCAGCGCTCCTCGCCCTCTGGCAGCACGGAAAGGAGGCAGGCACTTAGCCACAGCCCGCCGGGCCAGAGAAGGGCGGGCTTCCGCC